TGTGAGGAATAATTTAATTACCCTCCTATAATGAGCCTTCCTCCACATAACACAGGCGACCACGTTCCCTGTCATTCTCCACAAACGTGTCAGGTCTCATGCTCCGTTTGTCCCTTCTCCCGCTTTGTTCTGATTTCCAACTCTATAAAATGCTGGTGGTGGTGGAAGGGGGCTGAGGATGAAAAAGCAGACTGTGTGAGGGGACAGGTTTTATCATTAATTCTTTGATGTTTTGTTGTATTTTCAAAGACTCCTTTCCATAACATTTCCAAACACTTGAATTGAAGAAACAGTCTTTGAAATCCTATACCAAACACAACACTCTCTTTCAGTTTTTTAGCAGGACAAAAAATGGGCATCATCACAGTTGGCACTTCTCTAGAATATTCTTTGTTACTGGCCATTACGATTTTTTTTTCTTTTTTAGACAAGAACTGTTATTTTTAAAGATGAATTAAAACAGATCTTGAGATGCCTGGGATGGGGATGGGTTGCACACATCTGCATTCTTAGCCCTCTCTTCCCATCTGGCCGGGAGAAGTGGGGTGGCTGAGGAAAAAGCACTCATCCGTGGCTTGATGGGCATGGTCAATGGATTTCCCCTCCTGTCAGACAAGTTTCAAGACATTTAAGAATCTATGCCATCTTTTTTTAGGAAGATTAAATATATCACGTCTCCCTTCAGTCACTTATGTTGAGAATCACTGTCACCTGTACATTTATTCTAGTCAGAAAGATCTTATAGAGTTTTGTTTTTAGTATTTTTATTAGAAAAGAAATGTGCTGTATTTTAAAAATTAAAAAATACATAATCTACAATCCCCATTGACATTTTTTTTACTGTATATCGTTTTGTGGTCTCACTGAGCTTTTTAAAACGTCCATGGAAACAATGATTTAACATAAAGTAATGTGTGCCAATAAGAGACATTGCATTTCTCTAAGGAATGTCTTCCCTGTTCTTCAGAATAAAATACATTCATTCTAAGAGTCGTTTTCTAGATTCAATACCCCTGCTTTCATTATCTAAACTTCTTTCACTGACCATAAAAAAATGTTGTTTTCTACATTTCTGTCTTTGGCATTTTTGTCATATTTCATATACTCTCTCTGGGGAATCTCATTCTGTACCATAATTTAAAATCTTTTCTTTGTATCAACAGCTCCCAAATCTATACCTCCAGCACAGAACTCACTCTTCAGCTCTAAAACTATAGGACATATCCACCTGCTTGTTCAGCATGTTCTTAAAGAAGGTCATTATTTCCTGGTGACCTAATCTAGACCAGCTCATTCTCCCAGATTTCATCTCTCAATTAAGGTATCACAATTGACCTGGGTGTCATTTTTAACACTTTCCTCTCTTGTGCAATTTCCTTTCCTCTCTGCCTCACACAGTGATATCCAAAGATTCATCGAATCCTGTTAATTTTCCTTCTGATATGTCTCTCAAAGTCATGCCATCATTGCCATTCCCGCTGCTAGGTTCTATTAGAGTGTCTTGCCATCTCTTGCCCAGACTATTGTAAGCACATTCCAAATATTTTCTGTGCTCAATATAATCTGTACATGTTTCTAAAATTTTCATTCTAAAATGAAGATATGATCGTCTCATTCCTTTCAATACAGTTTTTGGATATATCCTTTTAAGTTCCTTTTAGATCTGACCTCTGCCTACCAATTCAGACTCATCTCTTACCACTTATTGCCTCACTTAATTCTACTGGAAATAGTTCCACATCAAATAAAATACCTGTGTATTTTAACAGCTCATATCAAAGTTACCTTGTTTTCATTGTGTATATGAACCACAATGTATTTTAGTAGTCCTCATGATAAATATCTTTAATTTTTACTATTGTAAACAACACTGCAAAGACCATCCTTTTACATATACCCCTACACATTTTCATACTATGTGATTATCTCCTTAAGATAAATTCTAAGCCCCAGGCCCACAGGGTGGATGCAAAGTGGGTCAGATGACAACTGCACATATAGAGAGTTGCACTGGAGGAAAGGAACCCCGATGTTACTGAACCTGGATCTTTCAAAATGTATGAGAAACAGCCCGCTCTTTGCCCTGGAGGGAGACGTTATCTTTATTATACTGGACAGCAATCAAGCTCTCCGTTTGTTGGAGAGAGACATTATCTTCCAAGATTGTAAGCAAGCTTACTCTTTGCTCTGGATGGAAACACTATCTCTATCCTTCAAAGCTGTTTGCTAGACAAACATCTTTGAGAAGGTAGTCTGGAACGAAGGATAGTCAATGCCTCACTTTTCAAGACAAGCAGAATGTGAGAGACCCATGGATAGTTGTCTCCCAACAATACACAGTCCTTGTTTCTGAACCATCTTGGCTTCTGGCAAATTTTACCATGAGTATGTGACTCCATGAGCCCCTCTGATTGATCTGACCAACAGAGGGCGAGATCAAATCCTTTCAATTTGTCTCATACAGAATTTAATTAAGGTTGATATCAATAGGACTTCAAGCAGCAGGATGAGGCTAACCTCCAGGGCTGACCTCAGCCGTTGTCCCTAGCTTCCCATGCCCAACCAGCTGAACACATCCCATAAAACAATGGCCCACCTTAGAAAGCCAGGTGGCTTTCTTCTTAAGTCTCTGTTTTGACTTTTCCACTAGACCTGAGGCGTCAATCCAGGTATCTGGCTGCATGGAAGAAATCTAGGGCAAAATCTGTCATCCATAACAACCCTGACCAGAAGTGTCACTAATCACTTCAGCTGATGTCAGGGACAAATTTCATGCCATTTTTTTTTTCCAATTAGATGATTCCCATCATAGAGGCCTCCAAGGTACACATAATAATGAAATTCCAGTAACTTCCCCAAGTAACCAAGGATGACCTCATGACCTCACTTTGGAGAGATCTCCATAGTTGTCTGAGGACAAAATGATCTACCGGTAGTGTTTCCCTGAACACTCAAAGTTCTTCTTACGACCACCCTTCAGGTGCAAGTCAGTGTATTTTTGGAAGGGAGGCAAGGTAATGACTGACCTCAACATAGAGTATAGTCCTATGGGTGCACATGGTGTCTGCAGAAAGAACCTACTGTTTCCAATTGTTGGTCCCCATCAGTAACACCTCCATCAACTGGGAGCACAGTTTAACAATAATCAAATATGGCCTGCCACTGGCTGGCAGCCCTTAGGATTCCAAGTTCTGTTTGAATTATTGAATCTTGTTCTCAGGCAGTTCCTCCAACCTGTCAAGTTTGTCCACAGCACCAGCCAGATGGCACTCATCTGCCCCATGGAATGACTGATAAGTACAGCAATGAAGAAAGGCACGATATCCCAAAGTGTTGACAGATGTTTTGTGTGCTTGGTAGATGAGCCACAACCATAATTGTCAATTAGGTTCCAGAAAAGAGCAATCGAATTATGGTCAGGCTCATCTGACAGGGTATGGCAGATCTAGCAATCACATTATATTCAAGCTGTTTGCAATGGCTTGAGAAAGCCACACAGGGCATTTTCTTTCATGAATAAAGCTGCAGGACTGATTCTGAAAAACAGAAATCATTAACGCCTTCTCTGTCTTATACCTTCTAGGGTCTGAGGTGTTCCTTCCCCAGGGGACAGGGATGTTTCCCCTCTACCACCACAAAAATCTGTGTATAGCTATAACTTCACCTTTTCTCCAGTCATTCCCTACTCATATCCAGAACTTTCATACAAAAGGGTCATGTGAAAGAGGAACATGGCTATTTTTATTACACTTACTGAAACCCATTATGTCCCCTAATGTGACACACATTGGCCATTGTAGGGAGCTTCTCCAAGCAATGCACTCAACTTAGTGGTTAACATCCTTATGTTCTAGGATCATGTCAATCCAACAAGATAAGCCAGGTGGCTGACCAGAATTAAGCTAAAATTCATTAGGTCCCATTTTGGCTGGGTTGCCACAAGGAAGGTGTACCAACCAGGCCATCCTGGGGTTGCTTTTAGGCACAAGAAAAATGCCCAGTAATCATCGTGCCCAGGAATGTCCCAGAATTCCAAATTTTCAAAATAGGTCTACATACTGCTCTCCTCATTTTTCCTGGTCATTATTATCATTATCCAGGAAGTGACCAAGGGAGGCAGATCCGTTTCCGTAGAAAGCCATAACAGTGACCAAACTGTTTGGACCAGGATGAGGTGAGGGAATTAGAGTCAGAGCTTCTGAAGTCAGAGTTTATGAGGCTGTTCCAATACTCAGTAATACCAGATAATTGTGAATGGTAGAGTACATGGAAGATCACCAAAGTCTTGACTATCAACCTCTTGTTCACTGGCTGTTGTGATTAAAGGTGCGTGATTGTCAAACTGCAAATGGACTGGAAAGCTAAGAACCTGACACCTATTAGTGGCCAGAGTTGGCTCATTGGACTGGAACAGTAACACCATAGTCTGAAAAAGTATCAATGGTGGTGAGGCACCATCAATAACCATGAGAGGGTGTTAAAGGCCAGATGTAGCCACTCCGCCAGGAAGAGGCCTACAATTTGCCAGACTATAGTTTTCCAAGTGACAAACCAAACATCGAGGCATTGGTAACAGCCCATGAATCCATAAAACTATAACTAGGTTCATCAAGGGCAGTAATGGCTAGAGCTATGAGAACTGTCTTGAGCTTTGCCCACTGACAGGAGCAACCACAGTCGTTTTGGTTCTGTATAGCTGGCACTGAGGTTGAAGAGCCACGGCAATGCAGTGAACACCGCCATATTTTTGCTCCGCTGAATCATTCGATGAAATAGGCCCAGATATTTAGGAGAACATCTGTGAATTCAGGGCCCCATTTAGTCAACAGCTTTGCTTCAAGCTGTAGAGATGACAGAAAGAGATGGGTTAGGAAGTATCTTGTGTGTCCAACTAGCTCTTCTCCAGATGTGGCTTTTCCTGATCAAAAAATCCTCTTGGACATTATGAACATTCACAATACCACCATTTGAAATATCAATATTTATTATATGTTCAGCAAGGAAAACTAGGACAACAATATATTGAATTAACCCAAAGGGTCTCACCTACAAAGTTACTTTAACTTTCTTTCCGCACTGCAAACTTTGCCCAAACCCCATCAGTTGAATTGGGTGTCCCTTTCCCCCCATGGGATAATATACAATGGCTGTACCTAACAAAGCTGTAAAAGTTTGAGTCCTTACCTTCTCCAAAGTTCCCCAGATTACTAGGATGGGTATGTATGGACTTCAATCCCCCTTGGGGACAAGGAAACTTTAGCCTTTCCCCCCAATTATCTTTCTTTTTTCAAGCAGGTGAGTTCAGGCTAGAGATGGAGAGAGGGAACAGGAGATGTGGAAGGTGAGAGGAGAGCTATGCTATTAATTAAGGCACATTTACTTTAAGTCTCCAGCAACATGGTAGCTGTTCATGGCTCAACCAAACAAAATTCCAATGTTATTGATCCATCAAAGGCCCATATCAGTAACACAGTCATCATCACTTACGTGAATATTTCAGTTTTGAGGGCACTTTGATTCAGCAGCCATAGATGCATTGTTTTGAGATAGTTGCTCTTGGGTTTGCACCCTTTGATTGACTTGGGCTTGACTCCAACAGCAGTGATCTTTGCTAAAGGTATCAACCTCAATCTACATCATTTGCTACCCCATTATCAAAATAGTATATCTTAAGTTCATACCCAGTTTCAACATGAAGTCTAGGGGAGTTTTCCATGGTGTCAGGCTTAACTACATAATTTATTTAAATTTCTTTGGGTCAGTTTATCATTCGCCAGTAGGTGAACTCCATCGGTATTGTTAACTCAATCAAGGCAGTAAGAGTCCAAAGTCTAGTCAATGCCTCTCCTGTGGTTTCTCAAGGGAGTTCGTCTGTCTCAGGGAATAGCAGCCATGTTTTACTGCGAAAAGAAAAGAAAAAAAGTCTTTATGGGCTTTTATTGTCATCTCTGCATGGATCTAAATTAGGAATGCTAGACTGTAGGAGAGGTTGAGCTATGAGACTATCCAACTGTTGCCATGCTTTCTTAACAAAGCGATAAGTTCCCTGCTGCTCATCCTCTCATGGTGCAAGTAAATCAGCCAACGTTTTAAAATTTGCCTGGGTCCTGCCCATGCTATTCTTGAATTTTCCTTCTTTCAGCCCAGTGTAGTGTACATTCTTTAGTTATCATCTGAAATGGGTTGGAAACTTCTGTCTACTCGGGATGACTCTTAGTATTAATTGTCAGTTGTTAGATTGGGGTAGACCTGAGACTGACTGCCAAATTGTCAAGAAATCCTCTCTTTCTACCTTAGGAGAAGAGTTAGCAACAACCAGGGCACCATTTATGCATCTGTCTGTGAACCTACTTCCTGCTACTTGACCTACAACCACCTCCCTAATGCTTCCTCATTAATAGGAAGTAAGACGGAGGACCATTTACTGCCAGGTTGGCCATACAATTTGGTCGATTTGTTTACTACTGATTCCTATGGACTTCCCTCAAATACTCTTAATTGCCTACGATCCCTCATTTTTTCTCTTCCAGAAAGCATGTCTTTGTCAGAATCCCATATTCCCCACCAAACTGTCAAGAACTGTGAAGGGTCTGAGATTTTACTCTACTTGGGAGCTAACAAGTTAACCTGCCACAGTTTTATGGATGCTCACAGTAGACACTAGACTCCTTTGTCACAGTCAAAGAATGTCATTACTCATGGCACGGCAACAACCATGAAAGTCAGGATATATTGTGTTGAGTCTTTGAGCCTGAGTTCTCACAGCGCTAACCAAAGAGGGCCAGATGATAACTGCACGTGCAGTGGGTTGTGCTCCAGGAGACGAATGCTGAGCTTGGGAACCCAAATCTTTTATAATGAGCAGTAAGCATGCCTGATTATGCCCTGGAGGAAGACATTGTCTTTATTATCCTGGACAGTAAGCACATCTGTCTCTTCCTCTGGAAGGAGATACCATCTCTGTCTTCCAAGGCTGTTTTCTATACAAACATCCTTAAAAGGATAATCTGGACCAAAGGGCTCTGCTCCTAAAATATGCAGAAACATGAAACCTCCATGGAGATCTTCTCTTATCACTTTCCTTTCTACACCTTCCACCACAGCCCAGGAACCAAATGCCCAGTTACAGGATTCAGAATGTTTAGATCGATCTCCTCTCACCATAGCTAACATAATACTTAGATCATAAACATTTCCTCTAAGAATTCCTGTGACGTTGGAACAAGTGCTAGTTTAAAAATAAAGACATTCAAAGCAAAGTTATGTTGCACAACATGAACCCTTATTCACTTTTCTAATTTTCTTACTTCCTCTTTTCACTCCTCCTCTTACCCTTTCCATGGAAAATGTTTCTCACGTGATAGATTATATTCCTAAAATTTAAGTACTGTTTTAATAAGTGAAACAGATTTTAATTTATTTTATTAAATATTACACTCCATATGTTTACAATACAACTAAGGAATAATCTACTTTATTCTGGACAGTAATTTAAAAACCTAGAAAAATGTAGGTTGTGGTCAAATAAAGATGGAGCCAATATTGTTATGGTTATGAGCAAATGAAGATTTACACTCTGCACAAGATTTAGTATTTGCTATTTCCCCTCAAATCTGAGAATTACATTATAGAATGAAGTTGAGGAGCAAGGATCTGCTTCATATTTCATTTAGGTGAGTGTGTTTTTTACAGAGGAGATGGAATTTCAATTCAAATAACTCTAAGACACATTGTTTCAGCCCCATACCTAACAGCTTCAGTCAGTTTCTATATAAGGTGTTTATACAAAGAGATGATGGAAAACTAGGGTTTGGGTGTAAGATCAGAGTAAATTTTAGGGTATCTATAGCACCATGTACTAATGGTTCGAATTAATTTGTTCCAATGTGATACACTTAAACCAATCTAGCTCCATCACAGGAAAACATGAGAAGTCTGGAACAGCTACATATACCCAGCAATGCCTGATCATAGAAAATATTCTTTATAAAATCAAGAACTGAGGGCAAGTTTACCCTCATCATCCTAAACGTATATTGTATTGAAATTTAGAAGTTTCAAAAAAAATCCTAATTAGTCAATATCGATTACTTGTCTTTTGTCAAACTACCCATGAGTGGATTGCCCATTTATAGAGGAAAAAGGCTCTAGAATAATCCTTGTTACAGTTTTCCTTTTAATGAAGTGTTACCATTTCTGAGATGCACATATGACTTTGGAAATACTTAACGTTTCTTTAACGATGAGAAATCTCAGCGTTTACTGACAGTGAGATGGAAGCAATTACATTTTACACCATAAAAGTTGCTTTCTTTTCCAGAATGCAGGTAATAATGAAAGGTGAGGCCTAAGACGTGTCCTTTAAAGATACAAGGCCAGAAAGGCATGCCATTTGCTTCTAATTTTAATTGTTCTAGTGAGCAATAATTTTCCAGCTCCCTGTCCAAGAAGGGAAAAATGGTAAATTGAGTTCTTATGGACAAATCCATTGCAAGCCCAGGATTCTCCCACCTTCATTTAGAAACCACTGGATCAGCACAGGGTTTCGTTGAGTCCTTTGGATAAAACTATTCAGACTCATGTCTGGATTGCACAGGTGATCCCACGTATCAGTCTTCTGATATCCTTTCTGCTCTCTCTGGCCTTAATTGTTCTCTATTTTCAGGGAGTCTTCTGGCAAGAGACAAGTAGCCCAGGCAAGCCAGGAACCACAGTGTTGTCAACTTGTTTGTGACGCTTTCTCACCTGGCTTTCTGAAAAGCTCTAATAACAAGATAGGTGGGATTGGCCTGTGAATAATTAATAGCACCTAGTGCAAATGAAGCACTTCTGTCATAGGGCTTCACTGGTAAGGTCACGCTACAATAGGGGCTGCAGGTCCTGTAAGCATGAGAGGTATTTGCATATGTCAGAACAGACTGTGCATGCTAACAGCACAAACACCTCACATCTGCTTCTGTTTACTCCCATGCTAACACCCCAAAGTACCCAAGTCCTGTGTTAATTGCTCAGTTACATACTGACTGTCGATGTGCTCTCCAAAGAGCTTTTCATAAGTGCACTGTTGCAAATCAACTGCTAATGACTTTGCTTATTCCAGCCACCCTTTTAAGGAAATCTGCAACATGCATGCCGATTAATGATTCCTCTATTTAGCAGTGTGTCTTGTGACTAGGTTTGCATAGAGGCAGTATCAATTAAGTAGCAATTATCTGCAAAGTGGAAAAAAGGAGGGAAGATATAAATAAGTAATGAGTGTGATGCTAAAATCTCTGAGAACAACTAGGATTGAACTCTGAGGCAAGGGCACCGACTAGTGAACATTTTTTTCCCCATCTTTTCTTATACCTTAAACCCATAGAGCCCCCATGAAAACCAGGAAACGAGCGGACACTTAAGTTCTTAAGTGCTTTTTTTATGTTTGATCTTCAAGGTGATCACTAGTTTGAAAAAGCAAAGAAACAAGGAAAAACAGACCTGAACCTTAACACCATTAACAAGATAGTTTCCCCCCAAAATGATCGGCCCTATAAATGTCTATTTTATGAAAGGACCCTACTAAAACATATCAAACTTTCTATATGTCTTAGTCAGAGTCAGCACAGAGTCCTGATTTGTCCCTCTATTCTTGTCAAGCAATGTCCTATATCAGTATCTTACAAGACTTATCTGGAAAACTCTGCATTATCTAGCTATAAAGGAAAAGACTAGGTGGGGTTCTGAGGATATGTAAAGTGTCCAGATTGGGAGGACTGTAACAAACTTTATAAGATCTTTTTTTTTTTTTTACCAATCTTGGCTTGCAACAGCCAGTAGGTTCTTTCAGCTCAGGCTCCCCTCCTGGGATACTCAATGAGGTAGAGAACATGGCGTCCATGCAGGACAAAGGACTGGGGCCATTTGGCTCTACTCCCTGTCAACCAAGACAGCTTTGACTTCACGGTCTTCCCTCAGCAACAATGGACTGGACAGACTGTGAATTAGAACAGATAGCCAAATGTTTCAAGGTTTCTCCGGAGGATCTAGAGCCCAGCAATTCCTTTGATATCTTTTTTTCCTTGGGGCTGAATGACTATGATAGGTTAAAAACTTGTTTTTTTAAACTATAGTGATGGTATTCTGCAAATTCTAGATGAAGACATGGCTTGACAAATATATGTGGCAAAAGATAATTCAAAATGTTAACTGCATTGGCTAGAATATGATTAGACGGCTGTGACAAAGATACCCAATAACACAAGTCTACAGAACAAGGAAATATATTTTGCTGTAATATTCCAATCTTAAGTGACGCTCCCAGGTACTGGGCTGCTTTGCTCCATGTGGTAAGTCAGGGACTGTGGGGGCCGTGGAGGTGCATCACCCAGATAGTCTTAAAGTAAACCTGCCATAAGACTAGCTGCTCTACCTTTAGATCTGCCAACACATTCACGTTGAGGCCGTACCAGCCCCCAGGTTACTCCCAGCCAATGACTAAGCAGGGCAGGGCCTGGCTAAGGCCGTTTCCGCCTAATGCAAGCCTCCTCTTATAGGAATTTTTGTTCAGGGACTCCACATTGGCTTGGTTGAGACTCTCAGAGATGCTCTGCAGTCTGGAGCTCCCCCTCCTCCACCCTCCTTCCCTCCTGCGCTTTCACAGGTGTCAGAACTGCACTGCAACCCAAAGGCTCTTGCCACTTCTTTTTCTCCCTCTTCCCTTTACCTTTCACAAATATTCCCCCTAATATTTGCTATAGGTTCAGGCTCATTTAGGTGAATTATTTTCTTGCAACTGAAAAATCTTTAAACAACTGCAGGTACCTGTTTCCTTATCTGAAACCCTTTGGGTTAAAAGTGTTTCTGAATTCAGAATATGGTGTCTCTATCTTATATTATATACTAACCCATTTGGGGTATTGCACAGTGACTATGGAGTGAAACCCAAACATGCACACAAAGTAGGATAAATACAGGCTATACATGATCTCCCATAAATATAGGTCACTTTTTTGCCAACAGATAAGTCTAGATCAGGTTGGGAATTGTCTCTAAATATATTACCAAAAAAAAAAAGAGTTTTGGTTTTCAGAGGTTTATGGATTTCAGAAATTGTGAGCCTATGTTTTGCACTATTGGAAAGAGCTTGCTTTACTCTCAGATTCACAATTTCCCTCTCCTTACAGTTCTGATCTATCAGATCCTAATCCAGTGGTTCTCAATCTTCAGCATCAATAAGGATCTTGTAGGGGTAATTTTCAACCCTCAAATTTTTATTCAGTAGGTCTAGCGTAAAGCCTTGGAATCTGCATTTCCAACAAGCTGGGCCATGCCCACCTCCACCTGTGATTCTGATGCAGTTTTGGGATTCACGCTTTGAAAATACTGTTCGAGACTTCGAGTTCATTTTTCATTCTGGTAAACTACTAATATCACTAGTTTCAGCTTTAATGTCCTGGATTTTGAGGGATTTTCTCTTTTTAAACACAGAACCAGCTAACTAGCTTATTCTCTTGTTCTTCCTCTCTGACTCTGGCTCCTTTTGCAGCCAGGTCATAGAGCCATTCACTTCTCAGTGTGATATTAATTTCACCGGCAGCTCTGCAGGGCTGTTTATCTTGGAATGGCAGGAGTTAGCTTTTTGAAATGGAGCTGAATACTTTCCACTTATCTTTGAGTATCTGTCTCACCAGAGTATCAGCTTTGAGCTTATAGAATTGTTCAAGGAGTCCCTCGTTCCCATTATAGTTGGAAATTATAGGTAGAAAAACTATAGATAAACTCTGATGGGTAAACGAATCCACAACAGAAATAGCAGACAACTGGCATGAAATGAATTTGTAAGTGTACACTCAACTCTGTACCACTTTTAGCTTGGTTCTCTTGCAGGACCAATTTTCTTTTGAACGAGTACAAAAGTTATATTTCTAAAGTTTCCTCTCCCTTTCCAAAGATATTTCTTATTTCTATTTTAAGCTGAGTGCTTCTTGAAACTGGAGACTAATCAGGGACTGTAATTGGATATGTTAAGAGGAGAGGTTAAAGAAAAATCAATGTCTCTAAAAGAGTCTATGTATTTATTTGGGAAATATGTTTGCTCCCGTCTGAATAGGAATTTAAAGTCCTCTCTTAAAAACAGCTTGAATGGTCATCAATATTAATATTAATAAGGGTAACACAAGAAAAACTAAGTTCAAAAGCATCCTTTAGAATTACAAGAATACCATTATTTTTACAGGTTTATGATGATCAAACTGAGAAATATGACATTTTGCCAGGATTTAACTGGAATTAGAGGCTAAATGTGGTGTGTATCCCTGGAGAGCCAATTTTAAGAAAATGTTAGAAAAAACTAATAATTTTTATGCTAGGATAAACAGGGCATTATGGTACAGAATACAAAGTTTGTGTGCTTTAATTAGTAAAATACACCCTGTTAAGAAATATCACAAACAAAAATGCCTCTTTAAACTAAGACCTCATATCCTACAGAGGTCTGTCTTCTTTCTCAGTGATTCAGGGTAAGTAGCTGGGAAAGTTTAGAAAACACTGCCGTTGATTGTGACATGTGTGGTTAGGTATTTCCTGTAAAGAGGGTAAATGTGCCTACTTTGTTTTTCTAGTGCCTGCCCTTGAATTCTCCATCTCAATTTGCAATATGTGGAGTTGAAAGCTGTATGAAAATCGTGTGTTTTAGTTGTACCAAGGATATGCAACAGGATGTTAAAATTGAACTATTTCTGACTCTGTTTTGGCTAAAGCCCCAAGACAATATTTGCCAACTGTTCCACATTCTAAAGCCAGACCACCTATGTAGGACTTGCAAAGAAAGAGAGGAAATAGAGGAGGAGCCCACAGGCTTTTTCCCCCTTCAGGTAACAACCTACAGCAGCCCAGCTGGGGCTGAGGAGAAGCCCTAACTTCCTAGGAAGTTTGATCTTACATGAACTGGACATTTTAATTGCTGAAATGAGACTTTCTTTTTGTGACTAGATGTGATCAGAGGACTTTTTACTTTCCATGAGTGACCCAAATGTCATAGGATTTCCTCTGAGTAGCAGAGAAAAAACCCTACAAAGTGGGTTTGGATGGGCACTGGGGGGTCCGGGGGTTGGGAGGAACAAAGGTTTTTTTTTTTTTTTTTTTAGTATATACCTGTGACTGGGGCATGAATCAGGAAGAAAGAATTCATAGAAGGAAACATTTAGAGATTTCTACTAATTCTTTTATTTTTTTGTTTGTTTGTTTTAAGGGGCTACAATGCTTATGTTTATGAACCCTCAGCTCCCACCAAAACAGGACTTTTTCTTTCCATTTTATAACATATTCTCTGCTTACCTCTGCTACATGTCTTGAACTCTTTCCCCATTCAATGCTGTTCTTGGTTTTTATTTTATCCATATTTCACTTGCTTTAAAATGTTGGAATGATACTGTGTATCATTTTTTATAGGGTCTATATTCTCCCGTTTGATGATGTTCTGATTTCATGGCAAGTGTCTCCCAATTTCCAGAAACACTTAAGGCTGAAAACAGAAGAGAAAATTACTTTGTAAAAAACAGACAAATAAATAGTGGTTGTAACTTCCCGAAAAAGTGTTTAGCACTTGGCCTACAAATTCCTGAGCTGCTTGCCAGTTTATTTAACCAGGAGGAATAGACTAGGATCCAGCATATATAAATCAATCCAATTCTATTATGAGAACTCTAACTTTCAGATCACAGGACATTTATCTAAAGTGAGCAAAGAAAGAATTTATTTTACTATCAGGGAAAATATTTTTTTAAGGAAGTCTTTTTAATTATATGAGAATTGTTTTACTCTCTAAAACCGGAGACATAGAGTCACACTGAGATACTTGCTAGAGGTTAAATTTCAAATACTGAGAGATGTTAAAAAATGGATCTTGAAAACACACTAATAATAGATGCAGATATCAACAGATATTTATCAAGAACCTATTACGTGTTAGGCACTGTGCTTGTTCCGGCCGTGCACTGGTAAATAATGGATGGTTCTTGATCTCGAGATGCTCACAAGGATAGAAAAGAAAACATACATAAGTAAATTAATATTTAGCATTAAACATACAATAAGAGGATAAGTAAAAGGTAAAATGAGAGATGACGACAGGAGAGAGGGTTATCTCTGTTAGGAAGTCAGGGGGCCTTTCTGGTCCAAGGTCAAGTCAGCACTGGCTTTTGAAGAATAGCCCAGGAGATGATGGGAACTTCAAATAGAAAAGAAGGAAGTGCAGATGCCCACATGCAAAGCATGAGAGAGGGTCGAGTAGATCAGCGTTTTAGAAGAATTCATCTGGTGTGAAATGAGCCATGAAGTAGGGGAGCCTACAAATAGAAAGAAACCAGATTCCTAGAGGCAGAGGAAGCTGAAAGGAGAGGAACATCACGAGAGACATTTCAGAGGTAGAGGACTCAGAAAGAGAGAGGGTGGGCGGGAAGGAAGGAAAGAGAGAGAAAAGAGAAGACAGAGAGAGGAGCAAACAAGAAGAGAGATGGGAAATCATAATGCAATTAAAGAAATAATTTCCTTGAAATTTTAGAATCTAGGTATATTAGGGAGAATAACGCCTCCTTCTCCTGCCCCAGGAGGTTCCATCCGCATCCCTGGAACCTGTAAATATGTTACATTTCTTGGCAAAAGGGATTGTGTTGATGTAATTAAATTAAGGATTTTAAAATGAGGAGATTATCCTGGATTATCCAGGTGGGCCCACTGTAATCACAGTTTAGTCATTTGAAGGATTTTCTCTGATGGTTCCAGCATCTGGGTCTGGGTCAGCAGACGGTTTCTCCTAGGATCAGTGCAGGATGGCTGGGTCAGGTGTTCTATCTTCTTTACACTCAGTGGCTGCTGATATTTTCCTGGAATAGGAAACCAAGAGATTTTCCTGCCCCTGTCCAGCAGCAGACCACTGGGTTTTTAAGTGGTATATACCACTTCTACCTACATTTTATTGGCCTGAAGCCAGTTGGTTTGTCCCACCCAGCTCTAAAGGGGAGACCTGGGAATGTAGTTTCCTGTGTACACAGGAGGAAAATGAAGCAGTGTGATAAACACATCTGTATTTTCTCTGTGATAATGGGAAAGGGACCACACTGAGGACTCCCCATAGTTTTCAATCTCCTTAGCTTTGTAACCATGATTCTTGGTAATCTGGCATCCATCTATGCCTCCAGCTTTATTTTCTCCCACATCCCACGCATATCCTGTGGTGCCACATAACCATTTACACTAAACTAAAATGCCGTGCTCTCTCTTAAGCTCTCTCTTTGCACATGCTCTTCCTGCTTTCTTCACTGAGTTCCCCTTTTTACACCATAACTCCAGGGCATCTTCTCCAGTCTTTCTTCTGTAACTATCAAAACTCTACATTTTTCTATTCCAGCAGTCATCAAGCTGGATTATAATTGATTATAAGTTCTTTGAAGAGAGGACAGTGCAGAGACACGAGGGTGGGGAGCAGAATTCATTTTCATTCTGCATGCTATGGTTGTTCCGGTGGTCTGCCAGCCTTCTTGATACCCACCACAGACTACAGTGTTTACTCAACTCCTTTGTTTCTGCTGTGCTCTCATTCTGCTTATTTTGCATACACTGCTACTCATTAAGTGATTTTTCATACAACTCATATTCTTTAAAAAGAAATATTTTTTTCCTGCTTTTTCTCCCCAAATCCCCCCAGGACATAGTTGTATTTTTAGTTGTGGGTCCTTCTAGTTGTGGCATGTGGGATGCCGCCTCAGCATGGCCTGATGAGCTGTGCCATGTCCTCGCCCAGGATCCGAACCTGCGAAACCGTGGGCCGCAGGAGTGGAGCACATGAACTTTACCACTCGGCCACGGGGCCAGCCCCTAAAAAGAAATATTTTAATGGTATATAATAGCTAACACATTGGTAATTTTTATTCTAAGAATTTTACATATATCAATTCATTAAATACTCATAACAACCTTATAAATGCGGTATCATTATTATCCCTATTTAATAAATGGAGGAAAGAAGCACAGAGAGCTTAAGTAACTCGCTCAATTTCACACAGCTAGTAAGAGTTAGCCTTGGGAGGCAATCTGACTTTATGGCCTAAGCTCTTTGGGACTAGTGTCCATCCTCTGTTCAATTAGCTGTGGAAATAATGGTGACATAACTTGGTATCAAGAATGTGGCTATATCAGTCAGGAAAACAGAATATTTAGTATAGTTCATTTAACATAGAAATTTTAACATAGAGTGTTGGTTAAACAATATTGGAGGACAGAAAGGCAGAAGGGAAACATGGATGTTACACAGATAGTAATTACTGGAAGTAGCTTCTATGTCCAGGACCATGAGACAAAAATGGAAGAGATTCAGTTTATAGGATCTAAACACTTAGGGAAGGGGCCCTCAAAAGGTGGGACTCAAAATACTGAGGAGATATTGACCGGCTGGGCTGGTACCTCAGGAGTTCAGAGAAAGAACTTTGCAGAGCTGGGAGCCAGACTTCTGAGAAGGGCGAGATACTCGGTTGGTGATAGCATCTTAGCAACATGGAGAACAGACCCTGGAGAGGTGAGTTTCAGACCTCTGCAGAGTGAGTTGTCTAGCTGGTGCTGGTATCTTAAGATCGTAAAGGAGTTTGGCCAAGGAACTGGGATTCAGACTTCTGAGGAAGGGTACCTGCCAACTGATACTAGTATTTCTTCAGAGGGTTTCCAAGAGTCTGTTTCCAGGGAGTATGGGGAAAACAAGAACCAACTGCCCCTGCCAGGGTGAACTGTTGTTGTGGAGATGCTGATGGAAACAAGCAAACAGGAATAAGGAATTTCCTTCTCTTGTCCTCTTGGCTTCCAGTTTCTCTGTGGTGTCCTCTGCTGGAAGAGCCTAACAGGAAGCCAGCTGGCAAAGAAGGAGTGTGGTTTGCAGACAAACAAAAAGAGATTGGGTTTACTGATGTAAAAACTTAGAGGAAGGATCTTGTAGAGTTAGGACTCAAAATATTGAGAAAAAAGTATTACCCAGCTAGTGTTTATACCAACCCCGGCATCACAAAGCAGAGTATAGAAGGCTGCATTTGGAGCTGAGAAATAACAGTTTACTAACCAACACATTGACTTATGTGTGCAGAGTCTATCAGAAGGTGTCCCTGCATCTGGGACTGGTCCTATGAACATTCTCAGAAGGAGCTGGTATGATCAGCAATAGACATCCGCATTATTGGTCTGAAATGCATCTGAGCAATTTAACATCTTAATTTTTCTCCTTAAAACAACTAATGGGTTTTAATTTACTCATTTATCAAACATTTTCTGGATGTGTTCTCTGACTCCCATACTGTACCTGCTTCTGCTTGTTCAACCATAGATGGGACAAACTCCACAAATGAAACATGGTGCAGGTGTAAAGCATGTTCACTGGTGAAATTTACAGGCAGAGGGTCAGCAAAACACGTGTAGTCTCCCTAAGTTTCATTGTCTAATGGAGAGTTGTCCTTGGGCTTGGTGTGACTGGATGCACAGTGGGGGGTGCTCCCAAACAGGCTATGCCCTCTGCCACTCCTCCCCTACCTTATACACATTCAGCTCTACATTTTAGGGAAAACTTTGGAGGGTGCAAGAAGGATCATCATAGAGGAAGATGGGCATAAATGTTAGCTCAGGGCCAGTCTTCCTCAGCAAAAAGAGGAGGATTGGCAGCAGACATTGGCTCAGGGCTAATCTTCCTCAAAAAAAAAAAAAAAAAAGGATCACCAGACTGATAGCCTAATAATGATATATCCGTCAGAGTCCTGTCAGGCAATAGAAACTATGCCAGTTATTTGAGCTGAGGAATTTAATATAAAGAATTGCTAACTCGGTATACACTTGTTAACTAGGTAATCTATAAGGTAAAAGAGAGCTCTAAGGTGTCACTGAGCTATCAATTGCAGGATGAATTGCTAAAGGGGGAAAAAGGAAGTGGTTGAAATTGTCAAAACTTAGAAGAGGGGTTCCATAGAGTCAAAATTCAGACTACAAGGAGGGTCCCTATGAGCCTGAGATCCAAACCTTTGGGGAGGAGGTGTCATACTGCTGGAATTGTTGTCTCATGGTGGGGAAGGGAGGTCATGGTGAATCTGTTTTGCAAGTGTTCAAAAATCTACAAACCAGATTCAGCTGCTTCTACAGGAAGGAATCACCACTGCCAGGGTGAAAAGTCATTGCTAGGATGATGCTCAGAGGAACAGGAAGCAGACAGGGAGCAAAACAGGAGGGAGAAAAGCTCTTCTTCCTTCTTTATCCTAACAGAATCTCTCTAGTATCTCCTATTGGCAGAATGCAGCAGCCTTCACCAAGGAGGTGAAACGCTGAAATGTGCTTTGCAGAGTCAAGCATTAGCATCATAAAACCAAGTATAGAATAGTGGGTTTGGAGCTAAGAGACAATAGCTTGATAAGCAGCACAAATGGAAATTGGAAGGTCGTGGGCTCTATGTTTGAAGGGAGGAGCTTGCTACAAAGATGAAACTTCTAATTTCAGTTCCAAGTCAGTGACTTGAGGAGTGTGCCCACAAGCTAAGTTTCAATTGGAAGCTGAGCAGGCTCTCCTGATGAGCCGGCTGGTCTGGACAATGGCTGAGGGGCATCATTCAGCAGATGGTGGAGTCCATCTCCTTAACGCTTTTATAAATTTCAAAAATAAGGTAAGGGTGGGATGGTAAGAAATGCACTGTCTCAAATGCCAAGAGGGTTCCTAGCAGAGACAAAGCTCATTCTGAGATGCACAGATTAGAAGAGCTGGGCAACTCTTTGGCACACAGTGGTCTCAGTGGGCGGGATGATTGTGCATCTGAATTGTCTTTGATCCTGGTCTCGGAAGATGTTCTCCCAGTTCTTCAAGAAAATGGGACTTTAAGAAACAAAGTAGACTCAGAATTTTTTTTCTAAAGTAAGCAGTTGATATGATTAATGTAGTCCATTGGGAAGATTAATCTAGCAGTGACTTGTTAGGTGAAAAAGAAGAGCGAGACCCTGGAGACAGGAAAGCCGATTAGACAACTAAGCGTATGATCTGACCTATGGCTGTGACCAGGGGGGAACTGGAAAGACAAAAACATAAACATCATGCAAGAGAGAAAGGAAAAGCAAGTAAAATTATAGCAAATGAAACTTATCACATTGTTTTATAGCCTGTTGTTAATAAGTCCGTCTCCTTTGCTAGATTCTGAGCAATGTGCTTACAAAGACATTTTCTCATTTATCATTGTTATAGCAGGAGGAGGGAGACAGACTCTGACAGAAGGGCAGCAACATTGTTAAAACACCAAGAGAGCAAGACTTCTCTGAGAGCAGCTTAGTGAGAAGAGTACCACTGGTGGAGACTTGTGGGGGTGGGGTGCAAAATAAATGTAAGCAGTGTTGGCAGCTTCGGGACAGTAACCCGAGTGACACTGGCAGGCTCTGCCTACAGCGACTGGCAAAGTCATGAGGTCAAGTGTCATCAGCATCTGTCATGCAATAATAGCTGAGTCCGTAAGGCTATCAGGTGGACAGAGAGAGGTACAGATTTCTGCAGAGTTCTTGTAATGGCTGCCAAGGAGAAGGTATCTGAAAGCTCCACAATCTTGTTACTGGAGGGGACACCTTGGGGATAAGGTAATTACAGTGATGATGGTGGTGATAAAGTAGCATCTAAACTTTGCTAAGTTCCTTCTATAAACCAGGAGCTAAATGTTACACATACATTATCTTACTTAATCCTTATAGACTAATCATAAAGTGGGTACTATTTTCATTATACCCACTCTACAAATTGTGGAACCTGGGCTTAGCAAATTAAAGTGAGCTGGTCAAGATCACATGGATATAAATGGAAGACTGAGGCTTGCTGTCTCAAAAGACGATGACATGAAGAAACTCAGGACCAGGAATGCCTTTCATTACAATTACTCCTACCTTTGCTCATTGTTTCCTTCCAGGCTCAGACAGGCTGGAAACTGAGGGTGCTCTCCAATGGCTTGTGGTGATGGACAGGCTCGATTAAACCATAATTCCTAAATACATTTGGAATTGTAGTGAAAAAGAATGTTTATAATTTGTCAGAAAAGCTATAATAAGTATTTTAGAACCCAATAAATTATTAGACAAATGAAAATAAGTTATCATTGTTTGGTTTTACATGCAGATATGTGTTAACACACAGGTTAGGAAGTGCAAATACTTGAAAAGAACGACGCTTGTATCTCACAGAGAAAAGAATTGGGCATAAGTTAGAAAATAGCTTTGGCCTCTTTATTTGGACCTTATAATCACTTGTGACCCTGGGGTGGCACTAAGCCTTCAAATATAAACTGATTTTCTCTGGTGTCTGATGGTAAGCTGTTGGCCTTCATTATGAGTATGGCATTGAATATATCATTTCTTATCATCATCTGTCAAGGAGAAAAAGCAAAGTAAGGATTAAGGAAGTCCTTAAGGGATAAGCTTAACACTGATGATACTTTTACTGCCTCAGATTTTCTGTGCGCAACATTATACGCACTGCAAAGGTGTTGCCATAAGACCCCGAAGAGTAGAGGTGAGAGAACTGGGAAAAATTCTGAACAGTGATAGTGAACTTATCATTCAATGCAATGTAAGTTACACTTAAAGCTGGGAATCAACAAATCACTTTAGCCATCACCTAACAAAGATCAAAATGCCTGTCTAAATTGGAAATCACCTTCTTTCCCCCAAGTGGACCTCAGCCTACTTGAGAATTATAGAAATTATTCCCCTGTAGTTTTAGAAATGGTCTGGGATGGTAGAGAGAAGACTGTGATAGATTGCTGTTCCCTACTACCTTCTCTTTATTTCTTCCCTTTATATCATCTTTCCAGCACTCGTGCCTCCAAGAGATTGTGTAATCTTGGACAAATTATTCACTCTTAGTTTTAATTTTCTCCACACTAAAGCTGAGGCAGTTGTATTTGTGCTTTTTTCCTGTGACTTCTTCTACCATCTGATGATTTCCCCTCTTCATTTCCCAATTTACAAAGCTGAGATTGATTAAAAAAAAAAAAGCAGTAGAGGAGTAAAAGAGAAAACAGAGTACACATTGTAGCTCTTCAGTTCAGGAAAATATTTGTTGTTATTTATTAAGCAATATTTGCTTAAAATATAAAATATTTTATATAAAATATAAATACAAAGATATTTTCTTCTAATTTCTTTCTTAAAATATTTAGCAACTTCTCTTGTTTGTTCCTTTTTTATATTGTCTTACCCTCTTTGAGAATATTAATTTTACTTATTTTAAAGTCTCCTTCTGATTATTCTATTAGTTCTATTTCTTGAAGTGTAAATTCAGATTGTTGGTTTTATTGCCCCATCCTTTGTGGTGTTGGTGCTTCTCAAATATTTGTGATTTGTGATTTGTGATTGTGAGCTCAAGTTTGCAACTGATATTTCCCAGTAGATTGTCCACCACCAACTTAAATTTGCTATAGATTTTTGGTAGATGTGCTTTTTCTGGTTAAGAAGCTCTTATCTGTTGTTAGACTGCTAGAAATTTTGTCACGACTTGGCTTAATCCACCTATTGTGTTTTTAATATCACTGACAGTATTTTTGTTTTTAGAAGATCTTTGGTTCTTTATCATTTTTTTCCTTCTTTCTAGCCTTTATTATCCTCCTATTACCTTATTATAATTTCTATTT